AACGTACAAAGCTAAATCTGAACCTTAATGTTGTTTATCTAGCTTTCCAAGATTTACCAATCTGCCTCAATTTTTTAGACCATATTCTTATTTGTTTAATTTAAGAGGGGAGAACGTTAAATGAATTTTTAATTTTCAAATGGCCTAATCAAGATTAAATATCAACCTTTATAATCTATAATCTATAGAATATAAATAAACAAAGAACAAAGCAAATTTTATCTGAAGAAAGCTTCATTACCGATACATAATCAAGATTATCGTTATTTCAGAACGAAATATCATTTTAGTAATCGATAAATTGAGATCTACAAGGTGGCTTTTTTCGAGATTCTAAGACATACAGTAATCAAAAAGCCATGATATTAATTATTTGTGTTGAATTTTGAACTTTGTTTATAATAATAAACAGTCTCTACAAAGTATAAGCCATATTTTGGGATATATTATAGAACATATGTACGTATGTATGTAATAAATTGTTACTACGTATACTAATAACAGATAACTCACGTTGTTACTAAGTGATGTTTAGTGTCACATTGTCGCATGCTTAGTGTTTTTTGATTCTTGTGGCGTAACATATAAGAGGGCTGTTTTTCTAGAAAGAATTGACGAAATCATAAATAAAAATTATTTAATTAAGAAGTTATTCATCCTAAATTTACATAGAAGTATATTATATTGTTTTCGTTTTGAACAAATTAAAGAATAGATTTTTATTTACTAACATTAATTATTTTCGAAACTGCCACACTAGAAGCCTCGTTAAGAACTTAATATTTTTTACAATTTAAAAAAAAATAGCATTGTTCAGAAATTCAACATTACATTAGCCTCATTTAAAAGTTTACCAAATGATTTTAATGATCCTTATGATATATATCATGTATTCTCTTTACGTTTTCGAAATTCACTTAAAGAATGGCCTGGAATAGTGTAAAGTTTATGTTCTTTATATGTTGTTAGGTAGAGTTAAGCAATTTAAAAATCAATGCTAACAAATTCATTTATGCGGATGCACTAAATTAACTGGGCACGTTATCTTAAGAATCTCTTGTTATTTTGAAGTTCATCTAAATAATAATAACAAATCCAAAGCCATAATGGCTTTCTTTGAATTATTAATAGTGAATGTTGTTGTTTATTATACATTTAAGATAGTTCGCTAAGCATCAAGTACAAATGCTTATGTTTCTTAGTAAAATCCTATGACGAAAATATCTATATAAACCTCCCTGAATCCCCTTAGCTTAATTCTTCACCAACAGGTCTCAAAGAATAATAATAAATATAAAATAACATAAAATAATAATAATAAAATAATAATAATAAAATAGTAATAATCATAATGAAGTTCTATTCTATTGTTGCTGTTGTGACTTTATTGGCTTCGACCGTAGTTGCCCGTAAGAATGGTTTTTTTTTTTCCTTTTTTTTTTTTAAGAAATTCTATTCCGACTTTTACACTCTTTAGAGACCCATGACAAACGTGATGCCTCACCATACTACTACTATTATAAGAGAGGAGAAGGAGAAGATAAACGTGACGCCTCTCCATATTACTACTATTATAAGAGAGGAGAAGGAGAAGATAAACGTGACGCCTCTCCATATTACTACTATTATAAGAGAGGAGAAGGAGAAGATAAACGTGACGCCTCTCCATATTACTACTATTATAAGAGAGGAGAAGGAGAAGATAAACGTGACGCCTCTCCATATTACTACTATTATAAGAGAGGAGAAGGAGAAGATAAACGTGACGCCTCTCCATATTACTACTATTATAAGAGAGGAGA